CTGACGGGAAAACATCGTGTCGCCATAAAATCTATAAAGAAAGAGGCGCTGTGCCAAACCTGCTTTCCTCTAAAATAATGACTAACAGGATATTTTTTGTCACAATGGAAACATGCAAATATTTATATGCAAACTAATTTCGTTTAAGATGTTTTAACTGTAAAATACTGCGTTACTTGCTACTAGAAACTCTCGCTGATGTTTTCCGCATCGGTATTTTATTTCACACCACAGTGCATTTTCCTATTTCATTTTATTATCGAAAGAACGTAGGTGCAATGGCAATAAGGATGCGTTTAAGTTGAGAGTGTGAAGAAAATAGTTTACGACCATTGATTCCTAAAATGACTAAAACTACTTAAATCTTCTTGACTCCTTTGTATCTCAGGAATTGAATGCGATAAATTCAATTATTTTTCCGCAGTTAAATTGTCAAGAGTTAATTCGCTTCAAATAACGGCAGAAATTAAACTGTGCTGAAGAAATTTTGTTGTAAATTGCTGAACAATCGTCAGTAAAATATAACGAGTTAATTTTCTTGCGATTTTTCAACGCGTTGCTAAAATTACTTTATTTGCAGGAACTTGATGGATTTTATGAACCATCTTGGATAATTTTGTCGTAATGTCAGTTTGACTCAACATTATTGTTCGAAGACAAAAAATTTAATGCATTGTATGCTTCCTGAACACACACACAGCGCCGTAAGTTTAATGATCAACAATTTGATGCTTGTAAGCACAAAGTAGCGTGTTGGAGACATGCATAAGATGCGTTTAAGCATTTTTGGTTTTCTTTGAAGTGGGTATTTCTGCAACAGTTAGAATAATGACATGAGCGACTGACGAGATTAATAATAATGTAACAAGCTGCAATTATTAGATTGTTGGCATTACGTACGCATGTTACATGTTACTGTATTTATGATATTATCTACATGGGAAGCCCTAAGAGGAACAAATTAGTGAAAATTTATATAAATTTATAAAAATGACATTCTGCGTCATTTAAGCTTAACTTCAAATTTATTCTGCGTAATACAATCCTGTGCATGCGGGAAAGAAATTATCTTGCGCATACTCTATAAGGCTAATAATACAATCTTGAATTATATTATAATAATAAGCGGCGCGGCTGTAAGCTTGTTAGTTTAGAAGTTGGCATTCGACTTCTGGAATGAGTGCGTTCTTCTCTTCGGCAATGGTCAAAATAAACATTGTTAGGGTGCGCATGCTTCACGAAACAGGAAACTGCGCGCTGAGGCCGAGTGAATTAATTAATTTCAATTAGCCTTGCATAATGGCCGATCGTAATGCCGATGATAACATGCCTTGCATTAACTTGGCAATGCGAAATTAATTTAAATTCGCCGTGTGTGCGCTTTGCATTCGGCCGGCATTCTTCGGCGGCGAATCTACAATTGCGATTGCATATAAGCCGCACATTGATTTGCAAGCATTATCATGCAGGCCTTCTGTTATTTATTAATTGAATCAATTCCTGCCGTTTATGTTTAATATATGTGAGTGCATATTGTTTTGCGCTGCTTGTTTTGTCGTAACTGTAATGCAACCGCGCATGCAGCAGTGTGTTTGATGGCTGATTGATTACGTTTGTTGAGAGTTAATGTGCGCGCAATTAAATCGCTCGAATCGCCGGCGGCGTTCGCTCGCTTTGTTTTGTGCGGTTGCAGAATTAAATCGAATGCCATGGAGGCGGCGACGCGCGCGCGTAATTAGTATCGACCTAACGCACTTAATGTCAAATTTGTTTTCTTCGCGTGCAGTTTTTTTTGTCTGCTGCTGATATCCCTCGGCGTTTGCAATGCTATGCGCGTGAGTTGGCATTGCGTCGACGCCGCCACTCGGTTGTTATTTATGGTTCAGCAAATAGGATATGGAACGAGATGGATTTGTGCGCATTGAGCAAAAAGTTCATCTTTTGCATGCCAGCGCAGATTTTACTTGCACAATGAAACGTCGAACGTCGAGGTCGACAATAATAAATCATTTAAAAAGTTATGTATTTGCGCGCACCCGCCTTTAACCGCGCAATAACAGTGCATGGCGGTGTGCCGAATGATTAGAGAAATGACTTATTCAACTTGACTGCAGTCACTTCAGGGAACTCAAGGTGAACAATGCCTGGGACGGCTCTATTTTCACTGTTCCCCTATATGCAAACGCATCAGGCGGCAGTAGATCAATCGATTCGAATGCTTTTGTGCGCATTGTTCTATTGGTTGCAACAGGCTTAAGTCACTTTGGTCCAATTCTGCATGTATGTAGATAGGGGTGTGGTATAATGTTGTTTTACAATTATAATGTGATAAAAAGTAAAGACGATGACAATCGGATGCAATCATCACGCTCGGTGCTTTTCATTGTTATGCGGCGAATTATTTTGTTGCGTTCAATGACGTTTTGTCTTTTGAGTGGTAGATATACAGTTGCAAAATTAAGCTGTTTTGTTACGTTCACATTCATCATTTCATGCTGATATTACAAGTTTTATTTGTTTTTAGTTGCCTTAAAATTACCCAAAGAAGCCTTTTGATATTATGTTAACCAGCACTTATAACAACTAGTTAAAATATCAAAAAGCGCTTGTAAATAATAAAAAGTCGCTTGGCGGGTTGTTTTATTGCGAGATTAAAATTTTAACACAGCTCGGAGATATGTAATTTACGAAATTAAAATTAATATTTATTATTCATAAGGTTTTTATGCAAAGGCTCGATTCGCTCGGCGGATGGCCGTTTGGCAGCCTGTCGACTGATGCGCACGGGTGCATCTTCATTTTGGTCCTTTTTCGGGCTCATTAATTTTTTTTAAATTTTAAGTGAGCATGGTTTCTTTTCGCGCGAGCGCGCGCTTCCAGGACGACCACGACGACACAGTCGATTCAAGTTACAATGTTAATTTATAGACGGGTTAAGTAGCGTGAGCTAAACGCGTAGAAGCTCGATTGGCATGCCTTGAGCGCAATATGCAAATTACACGCTGCACACATCAGTCAACGTACTTAGCGCAATGCGTGTGCACATGCGCAAGTGCCTTTGCATCGCTGGCTGATGAACGGTTGGAATCGGCCGGTCGGCGGTTACGTGCTTATCTTTAAGAGGTAGAGGTGCGCGATGCTATGAGACGTGAAATGATATTTTCAATTAATAACGCGCTGAAAATTAGTATCGAGCGAAAAAGGCGATAAAAAGTTTGATGCGCTAATGCGTTTTAAATTAATATCAATTTTCTGTGATCATATTGCTTGCGCTTTCCGCACGATATTGCGAATTTATGGCGTGAAACACGCTCGATAACGTGCGACTTTCAAACGCTCATAAATGCATTAGCTGAAACCTGAGTTTTCCCGTAAAGTGATTTTCGACACCATGCGCATTCCTAACTATTAGTTTGGCATAGGTATATAAATAATTTTACTGAAACTTTCAACATACCTACTCAGTAATATTTTCTTGAACTTCCTGGATGTGCCTAATCTCCAATGGCACATAAAAAGTAGTATTTTCTATTTAAATTGCTGCCGATGAGTTGTTTTTAACATTGGTTACGCATGGTTACTATGAGCAGTTTGAAATTGCGCTGCAATTGCGATACTTACGCACTTACACAATCTACGACAACTTTTCGCAAGCGCGCAGCACGGCGAAAAAATCCCAAAGCGTTGTGAATTTTTTCACTCGCTAGTCCATTCGTCGCGCACATCCCGAACATCCAATAACCGTAAACAACGTTGTATTCACTTACGCGGTAGCTATAAAGATGCGTTTTTTCCACACGCAATGAGAGGTAACGCGGCAGCAAGCGTTCCGTTGTATTCGCGGGCGTGCGTCGTTTTCCGATACTTTTCAGCCGTAAAATCGACGCAAAAGAAACGGACGCGGCCCCAACGACCGAATAAATAAACGCGGCGGGCACGCATTTAAGATTTCTGCGTGCGGGGAAAAAATGCTGAGATTCCGGCGAGTTTTACAAGAATTTGCAAGGAAAAATGCCTTTAACCAATGGTTCATATTTTAATTTTTTACCATTGCATTTCTTTTATTCATTATCTGCCGGCGTACCCAGTATTTTATAACTTCTTTTCTGTATTTTGTTAGTTTTCCATTTGGTCGTTATTTATTTATGTATTTAAATGCCAGACACGTCGCAGGTTTCATACATATCTTAATTAGACTTACGTTTAATTATAGATCAACACACATGCACGCACGATAAACATAAGTGGAAATAATTATGATTTTGTCCTGCGCTGCTCCTTTGTTTTTAACTGTTGTGTCTACTTAACAAGACTAGTAAGCTATGTATCAAATTCGGATATCGTTATTATGTCGAGCCTAATTTTAATGAAATTCATAGGTTTCGCCCATTGTTTACGCACCGCATCGCAGCTCGAACGTGTCACATCTTATTATAAAATAATTACACTAATCACACGCTTGCTGGCCGCTTGCCGCCTGCACAACAAGCAACAAGTAACAAGCTTCAAACGAAGCGTGCAACATACTGTAAAGAATAGAGACTTTTGCGTCAAATCTTAGTTAGTGCCCGGACGTGTGCATGTACGAATCCGTGTGCATGCGTTCGTTCCTGCGACTAAATGGAGACGACGAGAACGCACCGGATACTTTTAGTTTGCTCAAGTTAATTACTCGTGTTTGCTCATTCATGGTGGGACGTGCCTCGGCCAAGGAGGTAGAAGAATTTCACCAGCGGACAAATACAAATTGTCAAAGTGCGTGAACGTTCCGGACGGCTTTTCCCAGTATTATGTTTGGTTAATTTGAATTTTATGCGATCATACACGAAATTTAAAAACGGTGTAACAAGGTGTGGAATGCGCCGCTAGACAGAATATGTAATTACCGCGAGAGGTGCGCTTCGAAAGGTCTAAATCAAACAAACGAATTTTGAAGAAAAACCGTTCGTTTAAAGTTAATGGGAAAACACCGAAAGGGCATTAACAATTGCATTACTTACCATCTATGATGGGAAAATGTTTTGAAATATTGTCGGATTGGTGCATAAAATGTTGAAAATTAAATCAGGATTTTATTTAATTTATTCGTAGGCGTTTATAACCGATTTAATTTACATTGGAAAAAAATGCAAACGTGTTTGTTTGATTAAAACTGATTGTTGATTGTCGAATACACGAAGGGTCAAGATATGACAGACACGGCAGACGGGTCGAGCGGCCTCTTCGAATGCCTTTGGTGCGTGGTTAGCTCAAGTCGTGAAAGAAATGTGTGTGGAAGAAGCTTCGTGGTTCTTCACGGCCCGAATGAGGGGCAGCGTCCCGCGGCGCGCGGACAGTTCCATAACTAGTCGGAATATTAAAATCACGCTCGCGCTCCGATATCTTAATCTTGGCCTGCCAATGGAGCCACTTTCGATCACACTTTTATTTAATAAATTATCACAACACCTTCTCGGGCGCGCTTTTTCGCTGACGATCGGTGAATGAATAAATAACGCGCGAGAATGCTCCGCACGTAGATGGCGCCCGGACGGCATTCCGTATCGTTTATTGCGCGCCCATTTTTATCTAAATATGCTGAAGCGCGCGCGCGCATCGTTTAGCATTTTAAATTTGCTGCCGCCACTGATTAAAACCGTGTTCGATCGAGTAAGCAAATGCTGCGCCAGACGTGTATGGATGGGCGCATGCACATGGGCATTTCGTTAATTTGGGAAGCGGCGCGCAAAAAAGGCCACAGCAACACGACGTACAAGCTTAATGACTCGTTGTTGTTGTTAAATGGTCCTTGGATAAACGACCGGCTGGAGCAATTAGTTATTTGGTAATGTTGATATCCATCTACGTTGCATACAATTTGACCCTTGCAATTTTTTCACCTTTGCTGATGCGTTTTTTTTTTTTACTTTTGTTGCCCGACGTGCTAGCTAAATTGAAGCAATGAATGAGTACTCGTATGAGTACAAGAGTTGCTTTTATAACAAGACACAAACACCGATGATGCCGACAACTGAAGAAGAACCACGAGTAGGTTTGAAGAGGAAGATGGACGCTTGTGGACGCACGGACATGCCGGCGAATGCTCTTCGCCGAGAACACACTCCACACACGTTTAGGGTCAATCAAGTTCAGATTATGTTTTAGAATCTGTTATGTTACGAGTGCGATGCGAGGTGATGCGATGGTGCGTTGTTTCTGCTTGCCGTGCACACACAGACACACACACACGGGTTCAAGATTCATACCACGAATCAATGTTTGAATTCCTCATTCTTTATTCTTTATTCTCAACTGCTTGTGTTCCTGACTCATGCTTGTATTCCTAATATTATGACATTTGAGGGTTCCTCATGCGATATAAAGCAGCTTTGATTGTTGATTCATGAGTCGCGTCCGAAGTATCGTGGGTAATGTTAAGGAATGACATGAGATTTTTTTTTGCTCATGCGTACGGCTTATTTTTGTTTCTTTTTTGAGCCGGTATCAGCTCGACTGTGTTTTTGCGGATTTTGTTTTATGTGCGAAAGTGTAGGATGGAATTTCTTCAATTCAATTAAGATTCCGCGCTCGTTTCGCGCACCGCTCGTTGCTGGCCGAACGTTGTTTTTTTTGTCAGTCTCAGAACAGTGCACAAGTGCGTTGTATGTTCGGCCCAGTCGAGCTCTGTCTCGGTAATAATGATGTACAACACACGGGAGGGCATTATCAAAAAATAATAGCCTGCGCCAGCACGGGCGGGCCGCACCGTTTACGAGAAACCGTTGCGTTCGCCTTTTTTACCACTTTGCTGGTTTCATTTTACGAATTTGGTCAAAACCTAATCAGAATATAAATCAAACATTTACAGAGTGCACCATCCGCGGAGGAAATGCCCAACGAACGTATTAAAAAAAAGGGAACATGAAGTTTGTAATCATGAGATGTCATTATTTCTACATTAGCAAAAGGGTGATTTGGAATTCAATTTTGGGTTTGATCAAATGTCAATTTCTGTACTTCCGGGGAGTGAAAAATACAATTTGAAGAAATTGTTGAAATTGTTTGCTTTGTGACTACTTGTGCCTGCAACTGTTTAATCAAAGTTGGCTTGGCCAATTTTCATGCCCCACGCTTGATTCGGAATGCAGTTTGTGTTTGCATCGCTTGCCACCAGCTTGCTGGGTTGATGGAACCGTTGAGCTTCACCAGGAATATAAATGAACATTGTACGCTGCGGCCCACGAAACGTACATAATATTATATTACATATTCAACTACTAGTTACGATTATGTATAACACAAACATTCGTGCGACTTGGCAGGCCTGCTATGATTCGCTGATTTGCTTAGTTTGCCAGCAGTGAAATGGCAATTGCATGCTGGGCACTATATGTCTGCGGATCTTTGGGAATACTTGTGGAATTGGATTGATTTTGATTTACCAAGTTGGAAGTTGCATACTGCAACAACAAACTGTAAACGTTTCTCCAAGTCTGTTGGGTACCGTTGTGAAGTACATGATACACATAGGATTGTGGGGTTCGATATGGCTCCATTCTTGGCTCTCCATCCACGGTCAGTTTGCATTCCGAGCAAGCGGAACAATGTGCGAACACTACGTGCGAATGGCGCGCAATTAAATGCATTTGCCGGAATCGTAACAGTACATTTGGCTCCGAATCGAAAATCGATTCACACCATTCCGCCGCCCTCGCAGCTCGTGCGCGCGGGCCACAGCAAACAATCATAATTTACAAAAAGCGAATTTACAGCTACTTCGGTTAATCACGCCGCCTGACGCCCGCTGACGAGATGCGCTAACAACGTAACGACTACTCGGCGTACACTCTACATTAAAATATTGCTATTACACCCAGACCCGGGCACTGGAGCAGTATTTATAATGCAACAATGATGACTGTAATTTGCGCACAAATTGATAAGTAATATTCCGGCGAGAGCGGAAAGAGTGTGCGCAGCGCAGTGTGCCGTGAGCACGTCGTCGTGGCCTGGGAGGTCTTGCGAAAAAAGCGACGGTGCAATCATTGGAAAATGTTAACAGTTTGTCGGTGCCAGGCGAGACCAGCGAATTGAATACTACTAGCCTGATTACGCCCGCAGAAGAAGTGTGAAGTCAGAATGCAATTTTCGTTTTTCATTATTGCGGCACGGTTATTACCCCAGATATTACTTGCAAATTTAGAAGTTGTTCAACTTGCGCGAACCGTTATAAACTATTTCAGACGTTTCTTATTCAAACAAATGTCAGTATGATCTAAGAGGTGTCTTGTGACGCATCCTTGTTTGCACTCTTTTGGCGATGCATGACGCTTGCTATTGTTTCGTTCGACTTAATCGTAATTAAACCGCGACGGCTCGTAATTATTCCGGCGTGTTAAATATGCACAATACGAATATTACACTCAAGCGATGGCGGCGTTTGCATGATCGCCGCACTACATTGTCTTGGAAGCGTGCATGCATCTGATTGTGAATAATATCACTTACCCGACGACGCTCCGCATTGTGTGCGCACTTAATACCTGACGAAAATAATAAAACAGAAGCGAGACGAATGGGCGATGGGCGAATGGGAGTCTCGAAGTCACCGATGGGAAACGGCGGCGGCGGCGCGAGCAAATGCGACGCGTCGTATGAAAGAGCACGTAGCACCTTCGCACGAGCAATAATAATCTGATAAAAACAACAATCATTCCATCATTTGTCACAGTAAATTTTAAATTTTCTGCTCAAATTCCGTTCGGCTATAATGCGCTGCGCGCTGCGAGTCGTTGGCGGTTTTACATTGTGTACTCGCAGTTTACCTACTTTACAATACGCGCGCCTACTTACAAAACAAAACACCGGACGGTTGTTCGCTTTTTCCGTGTGCCGTTATGTCCGCAGACGACGTGAAAATCTACACGCTGAAATTCCACAGGTCAATATCAATCAAAATCTTCATGTTTCTTTTAATTTATGACGTTTCTGTGAGGTAATCCAATATTCCCACTGATTAGATACTTGTTCTTTTAATAATACAAAATTAGTTTTTAGATGAGTTTAATAGGTTTATGTTTTTATGGTTGTGAACAGTTAATACCCTTTGATTCTTGGACTGATTGCAAAGGGATGGACCTGAGAGGTATATTTTTGTTTTATGGTCAACTGAAGAACTTGAAAATTTTCAAAAATCTTGTATGTAGTCTTGTGGCGCCGGGTAAGATGTTATCGCTTTCTGTGAGTTTGCTGGCGTGTTTGGTTATGGCATCTCTTACAATCTGTGGTACCATCTTGAGGAACCCTTAATGGGATTTCAATCGTTTGTATTTACTGCGTTTTGCAAATATACATATATTATCGTAATTTGTCAAATGGAAGTAGTCATAGAATGAAACAATAAGACACCTACGTAGGAATACGGCGTCTGGCTTTTATGCGCGCCGGCCAGAGAGGAGCGAGGCAACAAATTACGGTCAATTTATTACACTCGATGCCACCATAACCGCGCGGCTCTTCGAAGTTCTTCGGGCACACGACGTGCGCTGCGACGACAAAAAGAGGTAAAAATTACAAGCAGCCACCAACACCAACGTGTGCTCTACGTGAGGTGTGTTCCCACACACGCGGACACATTGTATGTGTAATCGTCACATTGACTCTTCGAATAGGCCATTTGAACCGAACTCGAACGGGCTCCGAGCACAGGGACATTCCCGTATGTCGCTTCGCAGACATAAAGTGTTTCGCCATCGTCGTCGGCGTAGTACAACTGTTGTCATGGCCCCGGCTCGCTGGCTTGCATGCATGTAATAAAAGTATTTACTTATTTGAGAAGTGTCTCATTGCGCATTCAAATTGCACCAATTCGGAGCTAAATTATTGGCCGCTCGAAACCGTTTACGAATGCCATTCCGAATGCAACATGTTCTGGCCCTGCAGGGCAGTATTACCGGTCGCTTTAAGAAACAAATGCCTCTCATTCCGTTCACATCTCGGCCGGATGAAGGCGAATACGATACTGCAACCGTCGGTTGCAGTCGAATTCGTATCTCGCCGCGCGCGGCCGTTTACGGAGGCGTATATGAACTTTTCATTTTCCATAATAGATTATTCAGAGATTACTAGCATTCTTTACAGGTTTCTTTAATCGTCATGCTCGTTCGTTGCCACAATCGTCCCATAACTTCCTATCAGCGCTTTGCGAAGCTTGACAATGACAACAATTGCTACAAAAAGCCGCTTGCGAACACAACAATTAGGCGCATTTCTTTGCGTTGTCGGCGGCGTAACTAGAGCAAAGTATTCGTTTGTTCCGACGCTCCTGTTGCTGTGCTTTTGTCGATCGGCGGCAATCATTCGCATAACTGCGAGTGCAAACAGCAACAAGTTGCAATCTCGGCGGTTGTGCGCGCGCGTTCTTCAGTAGCAGCGAAGCAAAACGGTGCCATCGATATAAAACAGCTGAAACAACCGTTCCTTCATAGTTTAACGAATTTTTTGCT